GAGACTAAGGAGTTGTGTCCCGTCTGATAAAAAAGATCACTTCTTTTTTGTTGTCAAAGTTGTATAAAATTGTGGCATGTTTAATATTTGACAGAACTGTAGATATATATTTATATTCAATAGTTATGTTATTTAGTTAACATCCACTAATCTACATCCGGCTCGTGGGTATTGACCCGTTCTCCCTATTTTTAATTTGATTCCATTCATAGAGTTGTGTGTGTTCATTTGATTTTTTATTTATTTATTGTTGAAAATACTTATATTCGTAAAAAAATATATGAAAATAAGATTACATTGTATACAAAAACCAAACAAAGCTGAGCAACGTAAAACTTTGTCATTTCAGTAGCAACTCTAGAAATACAATTTCGATGCTTCATTTAACGTGTATCGGAAGGTTGCCATTATTAGAAAGCATAATATTGACTTTTGTCAAAGTAATGTTTGTTTTACAGACCTACAATCTCATTAAAATGCTTTTAGGATAATGGCATGACCAATTAGGTGAGTTTATTGAATTCATTTGTCGCCGCTGAAACCACAATATTGTTTTAGAATCGTTTATCTGTTTATTCACACAATAGATAGATAATTTTATTATTACACGAAATTCACGAAAGTTGCGTCTTCATACATGTAAATGGCTTGAAATATTATGCTTTTAGAATTAATAATAATAATAAAATAATTTATTTCTCACCACAAATGACACAAAGAGTAGATACCAGAAAATTAGGTCACTCGGACACTGGTGCTTGTGAATCACCAAACCCCCAAATATACAGAGCATATAGTGTTGTAATACAACTAGACAAAATATATCAAAAATAAAACTATTAAAACTAAGTGTGCTTGCTTGCTCGCGCGCGCGCGCGTCTATGTGCGTATGTGAGTGCGCGCACGCACGCGCGAATTTCTTCTTAATTTTGTGTTCATGACAGCCCAAAGAAAGTCTTTATTCAAATAAGATCTGCAACTTACTTAATGACAAATATTCTTTTAATTAGGACGTTATCATCGTTTTGTCTCTGGGTGGAAATGATCAAAATCCACATTTATTGTATTCCAACCTTTGTAAGGTTTTATTTAAATAAAAAGATATTCAAATAATTTTATTGTACGTACGTAATAGTAAATATTTAGATTAAAATGTAATGAATAACGATTTTAAAATGTTTGTCGAATGTTATAAAAACTGCATATTAATATAGGAAAGCGATAAGTTACTCTCGCTAATTTTTTAGCAATAAACTCTATTCATTATCAGTAAGAATATATAAATAATAGAGTTTATTCAAATCATGTTCACTGTCATACTTCTTGTGAATATGTAATTTTTTTTCGATGTTAATAAGACTTGTGCTTCCTTGAATAATGTATCTCAGTGCTAAAAAAAGTGGTATATAAAGATTGTGACGATTTTATTATATTTAACCAAAATATAGGAGGTCTTTGTAATAAAGCTGATTTGATGGACATTATTATTAATAAATTTAGGGAAAATGGCAAGGAGGTAGACATAATATGCCTTAGTGAGTCCTTTATTGGTCAAGGATCGGAGGATACCATTAATCTGAGTAATTATAAACTGGTGGCATTTTTTTAGAAAATCACGTAATGTTATGTACACTTAAATAAAATATCAATTAAAACTTCTTCATAAATAAAATAGATTACTAAGATAAATCGTTAGTACATCACTATTTGATCGTTAGTACTAGACTAGTCGTCAAAAAGATAATTAATTGTTGGAAAGATTATAACAACGATTTATGTAGAAACTACCATTACGTAGAAGTATGAAATTGAAAAATTATCCGTTCAATATTTAGTATTTCGGTAGCAAATATTAGTGTTGTTATTGTTAAAAAATTTTAAGTTACATCAAACACAAAAAAGTACAAATGCTAATTTCTAATTATTAAATCATGTATAAAGTTACCAAACCTAAGTAAAAAGTAAACCTGCAGCAGAACTTAGCCCATTAATTAAGCGTTCGACTTTTTGTTATTTGAATATTTAATGGGCAGAGTTCCGCCAGAATAAAAAATCTAAAGGGGAACATTTAAAAATGTTTTTGCATTTAAACGGGTATCTAGTTCAAAAGTAATATTTCACGTGGCTTCGTATTTTGTTGCCTTGTTTTGTATCGATTCCCTGTCAGGCCTCAGGTGTCGACGGTCGGGCGCCTGAAATTATCTCAGCGTTTTATTGGCAACAGTTGCTTGCGGTAATTAAAATGTCTTTCGAGTTTTATCCTGGTTGGCGGACCAAATGGAGGAATTGAATGATAACGGACGTACAGCAATTATTATGCTCACAGGAATGAAAATTTATAGGGCCGTAGACCTTCATTAGGTGTCGGCGTATTATTTGTTTGTTTGGTAAATAAATTAATGTTGGGCTTCTGAACCTTCGTTACTGTTCAACGGGAATAAACACAAAGGTGACATGTGGAGAGCATATGGAGTTTGCTTCAATTGATTTAGTTAGATTGCTCAGTCTCACTGTACGCTCTGCTAAATGTTGTTTCACTTTTATTTTAAGGTGTATTTTTGTAATTTCTGTAATCATGTCACATATTGCAATAGTTGTTCTATAATAATCTCATTATGAAATTTGAGTGTGGTTTTTTTAAGTGGTTATGTTAACATTGTTCTTTTTTTAAATTCTGTTTTTCTTTTATATTTACACTTAATTTTTTAAATATTCATTATTATTTTCAAATATTTTATATTGTACAATAACCGCACAGTAAATATAGTTATCATAAGTAGCTCTATGTATTAAGATATTTTTTTCTCCTTTTGACAGGTGAAAAAACAAGACAAAGACTCCATGATATGATTTACGATAAAGAATACAAAAAAAAAACTGTATCGCTGTTTACTCCTTTTCCAAAATCCACTCATTCGTGTACTAAATTTTATCGGAATTGGTCCAGAAGTTAAGGAACTCAGTAGTGAAAACTCTTTCTACTAATATTTATATGGATTATTGTATAAATAACTTCGTCAATGTTTAAATACAACTTTGCAAAGAAAATATGTTGGAAATAAATCCAGACCCTTTTACAACAATGAGTAATATAAAATAATAGACAAGTGAGTATCTAATTAATTTTGTCGTAATTACAACATTTTTCATGACGACCCTTTTTAATTCTCCAGTGGATTTTTGTATTATGGATATGTTGTTGCCTGTGAAGAGACTTATTGTATTTTTTTTTAGGTTTTCCGAAAGGGTAAAACGGGACCTTGTCATTAACACTCTGCTGTGCGTCTGTCTGTCATCTGTCTGTCGCTTTATATCATGAACTGCGATATGCATTTGGGTTGTTCCGTATTCATCCTATGACGGCTTAGCCTATGCATTATTTTTTCTTACTCATCCTAGTTTTGTTCTTCACTCAACCCACAACGATTTATTTTAATTTTGAATTTCTTACTCATCCCAACAGTGTTTTTAGCTCATCCCAATTTCAAATCCCTTAAAAATGCATTTTTTTTTGTGTACTTACGCTCAAAAAAAGGCCTCATTACAATTATGATATTAGTTTGAATTCCGGGCACTCGACACTGGTAATTTTTTTAAACTTTTTTCTTTAAGATATTATGTTTCCTAATCATATAAATTAGTATTGAGCTTTTAATCGTTCTTTGTTTTTATTTAGATTAATTAATGCCAAAATCTTGGTTCCTGCCAATAGCTATAATTAAAAATGATTCCTAGTTAAAAAACGTCAAGAACCTCTGTAGTAAACAAATTTTTGACAGTAAAATTCAGTCATTAAACTTCGGGTACAGTAGAGCGATAAAAAAACATTTATCTCATTTATCTAAGATAGTAAAAAGAGAAAAATACAGTAGGTTATAAATGTAATAATATTAATATTTCTACACTGATTTCTTTTTTCCTATATAACTCACTATGGCAAGTGCACTTGTGCATAATGTCAAACTTTTTGTAATTACTTATATAAATTTTCGGTAGTTCAAACTTGAACGATAAATAAAGAAATTCAGAGTGTCAAGAACTTATTTACTTGAAGGTTTGCGGACCAAAGTATTTCAGGCATTCTTTTAAGTCGAGAGTAAATTTATTAGGTAATACTTACTGCCGGCTTATTCTTAAAATCAATATTTTACGTCTACAATAATTTGACTATTTCATAATTTCAATTTAAGTCAGCAATGTATGAGTTTAATAAGCGCATAAATTTTACTACGTCCCATTGGATGATAAAAACTTAATTAATTTATAGACAATATCACATACAATGCTCAGCACTCAAATGAGATAGTTTAAAGCATTTGTATTAAGAATACCACACCGCCCAGACCCGAGAAGATATACAAAAATAAAATCTCGATCGTGCGAGCCGTCGGTCATGCAGGTCGTTCAAACGATGTCAACATACAATATTACATGTTGTGATAAATACTTCAATGACACATAGTCTATGAAAATAATAAAAAAAATAGTTTTATTTTGAAAGATTTCTTATAAAAAGTTATTTTTAAGTGTATCTAATAAATAACACACATAACAAATATAATAAATAAATAAGTATTAAACTACATCAAAAACATTGATGAGCAGCTAAAGCCCCCTTATTACGGAGTATCTGAGATAACAAAGGTACCACAACACTCAGGCTTGTATATGTAATGCTTGGGTCCTCCTAAGGCATGTTCACACATTGCAGATTTATTATCGCGCCTTTGCTTAACGTCAGCAAACTTGTAAATCAATCAGTCAGCAGCCACTTGCGTCGATGATTTTTGGAATAAAACGTTTATATGTCGTAAAGAAGATAATGTTTTAATTCATAATTTGCAATGCAATCTTTAAACTCTGGGACAATTATCAATTATTTTTATAAATGTTTTCATTTTTTACTTTTTATTACACATAATATATATATGTATGTATGTATATGGTTTGTACTTCGGTTTCATGGTGTTGCCACCTCTGAGGTCCCGGGTTCGATTCCTGGTCGGGTTAATGTAGAAAATTAGCCTTTCTATATAGTATCGAGTCTGGGTGTTGTGATACCTTCGTTGCATCAGATACTCCACTTACGGGTTGGGTCATAGTTCAATGCAGCAGCGTTAGGTGGATTTGATCGCCATTCAATATTCCATTTCTCCTCTAGATTAAATGGCTTCACCATTAGGCAATGCGCTGTTTGGTTGGGCGGCCAGCGTGATTTCAACCGGAGACTCTGAGGGTACATAAATTCTTGGTGGGCTAGTAAATCTGGGATGCTAGCTATTTTATGTGCTTCTTTAAGTAAGGCCTGCTGTCTTCTAAGGTGCAGTGGGGGAATGTGGCTTAGCGTTGATAGCCATTGTGTAGAGATGGACTGTGTAGTATCAGAGATGCACCACATCACAGAACACGGAAAGCGTGTTCTGTGCAGCACATAATTTTACGTAGATGCACGTCTATCTTCTCAGTGTGGGTGCTGGTAAGCCAAACGGTAGCACAGTATTCTCTCGCAAAGTTCACCAGGCTAAGGCCAGTTGCACGCAGAACGTCCGCATCTGTTCCCCAAAAGGTACCTGTAAGCTTGTGAAGTATATTATTTCGTGTTTCCAGCTTTTTGCGTAGCTAGTTAAGGTGAGTGAAGTACATTAAAGAGCGTTTGAGTTACAATAAGATATTTGGGTTGAGGGTTATAGCTAAGGATTCTATCATCGAATATAATGCTTGGGGTATCTGAGGCTAGTAAATTATTTAGGTGAAATGTTGAAACTTGTGTTTTACTGACATTTGGCAATAATCTCCATTTCTAAGTAAGTAAGTGTTTAGAAAGATCTTTGGTAAGCTGGTGTTCTGAGACTTCAAAAGTTTTGTGTTGGTGTGTGAAGGCGATGTCATCTGCGTACACAAACTTCCTGGAGGTAGTCTCAGGCTGGTCACATATGTACAGATTGAAGAGCAGAGGCGCCAGAGTGGATCCCTGCGTAAGGCCATTTTGTAGGGTATATTTATTCAGCTCCTGATGCAACGGCATGATACTGCTTTCGATAATTTTACGTATAGGCCATTGCACCAGTCAGTATCGTATGCCGAGGATAAGTCGACGAAGACGGCAGTTTTCAATTGCTTTTGGAATCTAGCCTCCGTGTGTGTGGTGAGTGGTAGTACTTGATCTGTACAGTTCCCCCTCTAAAACCGCTTACTTCATCGAAACAATGGCGTCGATAAGAGGGGCGATCCTATTTGCCAGCAATTTTCCAAAAGCATGTACATGGAGCTGAGTGAGGCGATTGGTCTGTAAATTTTTGCATCATCTATAGCTTTTTTAAGGTTTAGAGACAGCAATTATTTTTGCATACATCAATGACGGCGGTAGTACATTACAAGCGAGTATATAAAAAAAGAAGATTGACAGTAGTTTTTTACTTTTCGGGCCTATGTTTTTTAAAAACTCATAATAAATGCCCAAAGAAAGTTGCCTGAAAGCAACTGATATTTCATCATCTGTGAATGGTTTGGATTGGATTGGGACAGTTTCTCGAAGATTGTTTACAAGCTTACTAATATTTTTGGTATGTGCGCATTCACCTTTCACACGAGACGTTACTACAATGGTATGGTATGGTAGCTATATAATTTACCAATTTTTGAGAAGTATTGTTCATACTAGTACCAGATTTACCAGTCAGCCTGTTAAGCACTCTTCATGCATTCCTGCTCGATATTTTATAAACGCACATATTAATATATTAAGTGCTCTGATATTGTTAAAAATTAATCGTGTACAAGGAAGGGCTCTTAGACGAAAAGGATACAAAAAGCGGATCTCTGAACGGATTAAAAATAAAACGGTGACTTACATTATGACGACACTGCATTAGTGCATTTTATTTAATTAGGTACATCATAATTATGCGTCTTTTAGTTGACATTCGTATAACAACAATTTAAAACAATGCGCTATAATCTACATTTCAAAAATTGTGTATATTTATCACATATAGTATGTAATTTATAATGCATGTCACATCTTAGTGTATTCCTCCATTTTTATAATTCATCTACGCCAATTACAACAGTTTTGTGTTAGTTTTTAAATATTATAATTTACCATTTTAAAAACTATATTCTTAATGAATAAATTGAAACAAAGATTGATTTAGAAGTTTAAGATTTTAACAAATTATAAAACTTTTAATTGAGGAAACATTACAAATATTTTCTTGAATTTACTACATACAGAAATAGCAAACAATTTAATTTTCCACACATTATAATACATATTAAAAATAGATAAAGAACTTTTATAATATATTGACAATACGACTTTTTAGGAATACATTTTATCAATTATCAAGTTAAAAAAATTTATGTATACTTATTACTGTCTATTTTGGATACAGAAACAATCCGATCTTTAAAACCACCAATCATTTGTTAATTAAATATTTTCTTTTTATCTAAAGTTACAGATAGACTTAAGAAAGAAAAGGTAACCGTCGCATTCGTCTTTCTTAAATTTGTCAAAATTAATTAAGAACAGAACCAAGCATAGAGCCAAACATCGCTACGAACATATCCACGGAAATTCTAATAAATACTCTAGCGACTGCTGTTCAAAGATGCATTATAGAAAAATGGTGGCAGTATTATTCTGTCCGGCAAAAAGCTCGAAGTAAATTTTTATCACTGCACTAGAATGGTCATAGAACGCCGACTAGAATGCTTTATAAAATGTTCACATTTATTTTGTGAATTTGCGTATTCTGGAATGTAATTTAGACTAAAATGCTCATTGTAAGTGAATTATCAAGTTTATCAGAAACTTTATGAATGTCTGATGCGGCTATATATTAATTTAATCATTTAGCATTCGATGGCAAAAACATTTCAAGATTAATATCTTATTGATTAAACAGATCATTGTGGAACTAATTATTAAAGGCGACAATATTATGATTCTTATATAAGACACGTGATCAATAGCAAGTAATAGAATACCCAAGTATTATCTTTAAACCCAAAGTTGGAATGTAAATTGAAACAAATACTTATAATATAACAAGTGTAATGATTTAATATTAATATTATATTTATCGCTTTTAATACGATATCGAATACCAGAATGATACTACACTCTCTAAAAAAGTGTGTTGCAAGTACAATATTATTGTTTCGATATTATATTGCATATTTTAAAATTTACCCATTAAAAACTAATAAGCACAATATTCATTAAATAAAGGAATCACTGGTATCATCGTATATGATAAATAAATAGAAGTAGAATCTTTAAACTGAAAATAGCAGTTTGGTTTGAAGAATCTTATAATTTTTCGGAGAAATTAAATGGTATAAACAGCGCTTTGGTATTTTATACTACACTTAAACATATTTATCAAACAAATGATTGAAACGCATTTTCAAAATCCAATAGTTATCCATGCTTCTATGCTATAATATAATAAAAATATTAGAAAATATCATACACATTGTTCGGATTCCAAGATGAGAAACTAAACATTGATCCGACTAGAAATCGAACCTCAAGATATTTTCATTTTCAGTAGAATTGTTTTACTAAGTCACATAATCTATAATTTTATCCCATAATTCCAACGGGCTATAGCGAAGCGTAATGTATATTTAGTTCCCTATCCAACTTCATAAAAAAGACAATATAGGTATAAATGGCATGCTTTTGATTGTCCTAATTATATTTACGTATATAACTATTTATGCATAACAGCTTACGCATAATTTTAGCTTATCAATATTTAAGTATAACCTATTAGAGCATAAATTTAAAACATGTATATCGGCGCTCGCTGCCTGCCACCGTGGCACGCTTGCTTCGCTCCAGTTCTAAACGAATGTAACCGATTGATTGGTTCTTTTATGTTTCAATTAATTAGCAGCAAAATATTTTGCATATAAAACATAATTAAACCAACATATCCTGTGAGCAAAAAAAAAAATTATGGCAAAATATTATTATGCCAAAACGATAGTATGCCAAACTATTGGTATTAGGTTAAAAACATTATGCAAAAACAAGGGATCACTCTAGGCTGACACCAATTTTACAATTTATGGTATCTTAAAATAGTTTACAAATTTAAACAAAATGTTACCATAAATTTATCAATATATTATAGAAAGTTCTTTTGGTTACCGTACAAAGTATGATATGAGAAACATTCGTAATACATGTATTGTCTCATCATTATTATATTATATCTTATACTAATGTATAAACTATTACCTAAATTGAAATTTGTTATGCTATTGATGTTTGGTTTACGGATAAATATTTATTTGGATTACATAAGCATGACATAAATATATATTTTATATTGAAGGATTTTTATAGGCGAAAATTTTTTAAATAAAAACTTAAATAAATAAGTTTACTTCCAAATTAAATACTTTGAAACCAAATTTTTGATGAATCGCGAGCGTCAACATACTCTATTCTTCATTACAGCATTACTACGTTGATAAGAGTCTACGTTATATTGCATTGAATTAATTTTAAGAATGCAAGCCCAAAACTTTTAAAGCAATAATGTTTTAAATTTCAAGTTTTTTAGACACCTTTGTTTCAATTGTGATTCTTTAGCGAACAACTATATATTATCCTGTTTGCAATATCCTATCCATAAGGAAACATAAATTGAATGTCCATATGTCAGCACGCACGCAACGGCCGCACGCGGAGGTGGTGCACGACCACCTTTAAATTCATAAACTTTTTATTGAAAGAATATACTTTGCATCGACAAAATCTTGTGTGTTTTTTAGCCATCAAAGTTATTATTCTATGAACCGTGTAGGTTAAGTAAAATAATAAGGTTATTCAGTTCAAAATTAATATCACCATCATGAAAATACACTAATTCCATTTGACTTTTGTTGAAGTTTCTTGGTTCTTCGTAACAAAGTATTAAAGATACAAACAAGGATATAACTTGAATAAAGTAACTAATTATCTTTTTGGAAGTGCATTAAAGAATTTGTATTGCAAATATTTTAACTATTTGCTGATGCTTGCCTTTAACTTATATTTTAATTACAGAGATTATAGTATTGGCTAGAATTTTCAGCTTATATGTAAATGAGTTTGGTTTCAACAAACTAAAAATTATTAATAATAAATGTTTGATTGGCTCTGGTGAGGTTTTTGCCACCATGTCTTTTTATTTTCTTTCGCCGTATTAATGGGTCCTTGATTTACGTTAGCGCATGCACTTGAAATGTAAACATGAGAAAACTAATACAGAAATAATAATTCACGATGAAAAATACACATTAGCGCATTAGTGCTTAAAGGTCCCTATTAGCACGCACGCATCGGCTGCACGACGTGCAAAGGATTAAATTAAAAAATCCTAAGACGTCATCAGTGCAATTCCGACGTCAAAACTGACAGTCGAATTTTTCATAGAAGCATTTATGAAAAATGTTACTGCAGTGGACTATGAGATCGAAAAATCCGTGCAATGCGTTGCAGTCGGTGCGTGCGTGCTGAGGCAGTGGACGAGTACCTTAAATATAAAAGGACCGACATAAATGAATAAGCATAGCGTATCACTAATTTTATCCACTATGATTATCTACATATTATTATTCAGTCACATTCATCTTAAACAAGCACTTGCAAATATATTCGACGCGAAATTTGAACACTTTACATAAAATATTTGCCTACACGATAACAAAGACGAATTGAATTTGTCTATATTTGACTATAAATAATAAATATGATTTGTTCCATTTGTTCATATTCATAATTGATGAGGCAAGTAGCTTATTATAATAATAGAAACGTATATACTACATAGATGCAGAAAATGTCTATTGAAGACTATAAACATAGAT